GCCTCCAGAACAAGACACTGCGGGGGAAGACTATGTCAGCAAGCTTCGGCAGAGAATGGACGACATTCATGAACGAGTCCGTCTGAACATCCGGAATGCCAGCGATAGGATGAAGGAGGCCTATGACATCGAGGCGAATGCTGGAGGATTCGAAATCGGCGACCTAGTTTGGCTGTACAATCCTAAGCGCCGCCATGGTTTATCACCGAAGTTGCGGAACTCGTTCCGGTTCCCAGTATGACGCATACCGCGAAAATTCCGGATGGGTCCCGAAATCCGCAGAGGGATCCGGAACGTTCGTTGACGATATTAAAACGTCGCTAATCGTCCCGAAGAGTAGTCTGTACCAAGAAAGCGAATCGAGCGGTTAACAAACGGTGAAGATAAATTAAGCGTTAGTTACTGAGTGGTGTAAATAAATTAGTTGTGATAGTGAAGTATTGTTAAAATAAATTTGTTTAAGACAGTCAATGCTTTAATTCGTTACAATAGAATTATGATGATTACCTAATTTCTTCATCAGATGTTCACAATTTACTTGTGGGGGCATAACAATTTTTGATATGGTTTCCGAAGTGACGTTTTCAAAGTATTCGCTGAATATTTCAGCAATAGATTCATCATCTTCGATCAAGTCATTATCTATTTTGAGGTTTATGTTTCATACATTCTTTGTTTTATTTGAGAGTTCGGATACGATTTTCCATGCAGTCTTTGCTGGATTATCCGATTTATCAATTTTCTGTTGAAAATATTGTTTCTTTGCTGAATCAATAAGACTATTGTATTTACGTTTTTCTTGAATATACAAATCTGATAGTGAAGGAATTTGTTTTTTTAATTTGAACGAGTCTTTCAACTTCATGCTAGATTTTTTCACATCATTAGTAACCCAACATTTCCCTTTGACTTGATTGAGAACTTTGCGTTTTGGTAAATGCTTCTCAAAGTAAAGCATGAAATTATTATAAAAATACTGATATGCCTGAGCCATATCGGAGATACAATAAAGTTCTAGCCATGTTTCATGTTTTATATCTGTAATAAAGTTTTCAACTGCGTTATTTTTGAAGAATCTCCTGTAATCATCAGTATGGGTTTGTGATTTGTGATCAATACCTGGGTAAAACATTATGGTGCGGTGGTCAGAAATAATATCGATAACACAAGTTGTCCCATTGTCAGAAAAGTTGACAAATAAGTGATCAATGATTGTCGCCGTATATTGTGTCACTCTAGTTGGCCATTTGACAACGTCAAACAGATTATATGCTGAAAGACTGCTACATAGTTTTTTAAAGTCATTACGTGGGGTCAGTGAATCGAAATTAAAATCACCAAGAATAATAATATTCACCTTTGGTGTGTAAAGCATCAATTAGATTTTCAACCAATATCGAGCTCTTACCCAAAGGTGACCTGACCTATAACAGCATAATATTACTGTTGGACCTATCTCTAAAGAGCACGTTATTCCACATATTTCGAAATCTCTCTCAATACAGAAATACCTTTTCAATTATGTATCATAAGTTAACATTCTTTTTCGAAAAATTGGAGATATTGAAAATAATTAATTTTTATCATAATAGCCTTTGACTTTGATATTTCTGAATTTGACCTTCAATTTGTTACACTCAATGACATTTTGTTATTGTACAAGTCATTGATTTTTTGTCGAAAAATGGCTTTCACGAATGAAGAAAAAAGAGATATAATACAAATTTATTACAAATACGATAGAAACAGTGTTAGGACATCGGAAATTATTTGAAAACTTGTATCCCGAAAGACGATAACCACATCGAACTATATTCAAGTTATTGGATCAAAATCTCACCGAGTTTGGTGAGTATGTAGAGTATGTAGCAGTGAAAAAGTGGCAACGTGGAAGTGCAATTTATTTTCGAATCCTTCAAAAAATGAAACCAGAAAAAAAGTAAAAACCATTTTCCGAAATTTTTGGTTTTTCCGGATATCTCCATGTATATTCGGAATTTCAGAAATTTCTCAACGGTATATTGTTAGTCAGGTAAATGCGCAACTTTTTACTAATTCAACCATCTTCGTATCTCTCATAGTTTCCGAGATCCTTATGGTGAATTTGAAACACCCTGTATATGATTCAAGTCCAATCCTACTTCTCTTGCCAGAAGCAACAGTTTTGAAATTTTTGTTGTCTTGTAAGTATTACCAGAGAGCCTATAAAAATTCAATCTGTTTGACCCTCGTGTTGAGAACTTTGTCTTTTTCCTTGAGTTGATATTGGCCTACTATCACAATTCTTTGTGTGTCTATATAAACTGTTCTTTTTATAAAACCCTAAACAATGGGGACAGGGAAGAAACTCACTGCTACATAATAGTATTCCTGATTTAACCTGCCTCACTGGCCTTAGTTGCAAAATAGATTGATTTTTCACATAACTTCCTCTTTATCCCAAAACACTCAAAGCCTGACGCTTTTCTTTTGAGTTGAACTTATATTTAATTTGGGTGCCAAGTTCTCAGATGTCTGGAGAAATGTGAAACATCTTTGTCACAAAAAAAACAAAATGTCATTTTGTCTTTATAGTTTTCTATCGACTTTTTTGGGAAATTTTTACCTTTCACAATCTGAAAAATATGAAAATTATAATGGAGAACTTTTTACAAGTGTAGAAAGGGCAAACTTTTTAGTTTACTCCGATGAGTTACTGCGTAAAATCAAAGTATTTTTCACAGAGATAAATGTTATATATACCAGTAACTTGTATTCAAAAATTTTGCCTACCAAAAAATTTTCTAATACAATAAATAGGTACTTATCTTGACTTTTCGAAAGCCAAAATTCAATGAGCCTCACTCTAAGAGACGTAAGCTAAAAGAATCAGCATATATTTTAATATCTGTAGAGAATTGCATTCCGAAAAGCTCCTTAGAAATATATTGTACTTGGTTACCCATCTTGAAGGAAAATTTGGATAGTGGTGAAATGGCAACAGACTGATATCGTATTACATCATATGTTTCAGTTGTCAATCAACAACATTGACATAATTTCACACTTCAAAACTCCTTTGACATCTGTCGAAGAAGTTAAGAAATAAATGATCAGCAAAGGAATAACTGCAAATAAGTTTGAATTTTTTGTCCATTTCTGAAGACGGAGGCGGATGTTAGTCTCCGAAACGTTAAGTATTGTATTATTTCTTAACAATTTTTTTGATTGGCAAAATTGTTAAATACGATAAGTTACTGATAAATAGAACATTTTTCTTTGTGAAAAATACTTTGATTTTACGCAGTAACTTATTGGGGTAAACTCAAATGTTTGCCCTTTCTACACTTGTAAAAACTTATCCATTATAATTTTCATATTTTTCAGATTGTGGAATATAAAAATTCCCAAAATAAATCGATAAAAAAATTACTTTCGTTGAATGTCGTCATAGTGTTTCTTATCAGTCAAAACATACTCGTACATCCTACTATGCTCGTACACCAATTAATGGAAGCACAATGTTGTCATATTTATATGCCTCGGCTTGTAATGTACGGAGTTAGTTTTAGACATATACGATTTCTATATACGAATTATCCGACAGTGCCGCGCTTGGCAATTTGCTGAACTATAAATTATATCTTTCGTATCAAACTGAGTCATTTTTTGGAGGTAAAAATTGGCGCGTAAATGCTATATAACGATAAATCACATGAAAAAAATGAGGAATCAGGATTCACTAAGAATCGCCCGAGCTTATAAGAAAATAATCACATATTTTCAAACCACCTGAACCTTTTACTGCTCATCAAAACACATATTATATATTTTTGATGTAGGTAAAAGGTTGTCTTGTTCAAAGTTCATTGTAGAAAACGCTCAGAGCAATGGAAAAAATATGAATAGGTACATAAAAATAAAAAAAAACTCTCGAAAAACTCTACGTCTACGATCCAAAAACTACAACAAAAAATACAGGTCCGTATTTAAAAATTCAAAAATGGGGGTGGCCCAAGTCAGATGACACCCTGTATAAAAAAATTCATGGATATATTCTGAGAGCCCACATCAAGTGCCAATAGCAAAATGTAGACAGATTTTCAATATGTCTGCAAATAAAGAAGATATAGGCAAAAAAATAATTTGTGATTTTTTGGGTTTTCCTGTATATCTTCAGAACAAAAAGAGCTATATTCGATTTCTTTACATCATTGAATAGGTCTTTGAAATACGCAACTTTGCCATAATTCAACTGACACTCTATCTCTTATCGTTTACGAGATCTCCATGTACAGAAACGAATTTGAATAGCCCTGTATATATGCTGTTTTTGTTGATTTTGAAAAATGCCAAAAGCATTGGAAACGAAAACTTTTTTTCAGAGTATATACCATCATCTGGACTACCACCCCTTGGACTCTACCATCTAATCATGCTGTATGCTACAATGAACTATTGTCATATAGTATTCTCAAGCGAAGTGATCCTCAAGATACCAACATTTACATAGTTGCTACTGATTTGGTGAAAAGTGTTTCAAGCATACTGAATACCAATTTTGAAATTGTTAAGGTGGTCAAAGGAGATCAATTAGAAGGTGCTGAGTATGAACATCCAATATATAAGGATCGAGTTCATAAACTTTTCCATTCACCTCATGCTACTACTTCTAAAGGAACAGGGTTAGTGCACAATGCTGGTGCACATGGACCGGACGATTTTGTTGTCGCTTTGACTAACAAAATACCCATAGTACGTTCTACATATAATGATGACTTTGAATTTGTTTATAACATTCAGTTTTTCACACTTTTAGGTAGATTTGGTGAACGAGTTTGGCACCTATGAATCTGACGCTGGTCCAATATTGGCAGGGAAAGAAGTTTTATCTGAGGGTAATAAAACTGTCCTAGACATGTTGAAGAATGATTTGATGTATCTAGGAGAAATTACTCATAGTTATCCATATGACTGGAGAACAAAGAAACCTGTGATAATTAGAGCTAGTAAGCAATGGTTTATTGATACCGAATCTATTAAAAATGCAGCAGTGGTGAGTTAAATAAGTTGTTTCCACTTTAAATATTATGTTATTTCATTGTTAATGAAGTTTCCAACGACCACACATATGCAACATTTTTAAAGTAGCTACATTGTAAATAATAATGCTGTAAAATGTAATATAGATATATAGTGCATTTCTTTAATGTCCCCCCCATTCATTTTTTGAACGGGTCAACTCAAAATAATGAAATTAATGCATGAATACTTTATTTTGAAGTGAAATTGGCAGATGAAACTTTCAAGATGGCGTCTAGGCGCCTTCTGGGAAAAAAATGAAATAGATAGGGGGGGGGTCTTGTGACATATCTTTTTGAAGCTCCTGACAAAGGCTTAACAACCCTAGAATGTAATGTCAATATCTTCAACTACTACAAAATGCCGGAACTTTTAATAATTGCCTGAATACATTGACATTTAATTACATAATATGAGGTAATTAGCTTGAGGTCAGTTCAGAAGATGCTCGAAATGGTTGCCTTGAACTTCTTAACATATGAACAGCCTATCCGATATTTCACGGCGAACATTTTTGAACACAGTAACGTCAATATCTCTACAAATATTTATTATTCTCTGTCGTATATCCAATATTGAAACAGGTTCAGTTTCGTACACCCATAAAAAAAGTACAAAGGTGTCAAATCTGGTGAGCGGGCTGGCCATTCTGTAGGACCTCGATGGCCAATCCAACAACAGGGAAAAATAGTATCCAAATTGTTTCTTACTTGTCTGGAGCAATTTGGTGGTGCTCCATCTTGTTGGAATACAATATCCATATCGAATTCATTAGGATTCACTTCAGCGATTTCAGTGATGAGAGGATCAACAGTAGTTTCCATCATATTCAAATACAGTTCTCCTGTTAAATTTTGATCAATAAATAAAGGTCCTACAATATGGTCTCCCAATATTCCTGCCCAAACGTTAATTTTTTCTGGATTTTGGGTATGTGTTTCCCGGAAAACATGAGAGTTGTGTCACTCCAATAACGGCAATTTTCTCTGTGAACATTGCCGTTTAAAAAAATGTACATTCGTCACTAAAACAAATATTGTGGAGATAGGTAGGATGCCTTGTAATGGTTTCCATGATGATTTCGCAGAATTCTGTTCTTCGACCAGGGTCATTTTCAGTTAATTGGAATCGGAAAATGTTCATTGAAAATCCTTTCGGTCTCATGAAAGTTACGCGTGGTACCGTAAATAAAAATTGCTTCAATTTTTTTTTCCAATGGACGAGAATTGACCATTTTAGAGATTGTTAACGTGTTACCTTTCTACTAGTAAAACCGAAAACTAAATGAGAATATTCTAACTGAACAATAATGTTCATTGTCGTACTGACATTTTTTGTAGTTTTTATAAACAAAAAATAACTTAACAAATCTTATTGGGTTGTTGGAATTGCCATATGGCAGATAAAAAAGAATATTTATAGAAATATTGATATTAATGTGTTTAAATTTCACTAGTTCGCACTTCCATTGTCTACTATATAAAATGATTTGAAATATGCTTAATATAATTGTTATTTTCAGCTATTCATTTTTAATTCTTCTTTTTTAGTTGTTTCAGGGATTTCAAATCATTTTATATAGTAGACAATGGAAGTACGAACTAGTGAAATTCATCATGAAACATTGTCAATCACCTTCAAACAAACATTAATGTGTTTGTCTTCAGGAAATTATTAAATTTTTCGCCATTTTGTGGTAGTTGAAGATATTGACATTATATTCTAGGGTTGTGGAGCATTTGTCAGGAGCTTCAAAATGGTGTGTCACAAGACTCCCCTTTCCATTTAATTTTTTCCCAGATGGCGCCCAGACGCCATCTTGAAAGTTTCATCTGTCAATTTCACTTCAAAATAAAGTATTCATGCATTAATTTCATTATCCCAAATTTCAATTTTTTGAGTTGACCCGTTCAAAAGATAAAAGGGGCGGGGGCATTAAAGAAATGCACTGTATGTTACAAAAGATACACCTATCAACTACAGTTTAGGGAAGTTTTTAGATTATTCTCAAAGTATGTTTGTCTACTTGGTTTCTCAACTCAACTTGACAGACTGGATTTTACCTATGCTCGTTTTCTCTAAGTAAGTCGCTTAGTCTCTGGCTGACCATTTGTAGGAATTATCTTAGAGATGCGCATCATCTTTTTTGATAATTGGTGGTGTTCATGACTTCTGTTGTTTTGCGCGTTTATATGTTCTCGTTTTCCTCCAAGTTGATTTGCATATTTTAAGGTATGTGCAATGTCATGTCTTTTGTTCTCTGCGATCTCTTGAGGTATGTCTCGTAAGATGGCTTTCAAGCTAGAGATTATTTTTTCATTCAGAACTGTTTATGAAATGATCGCGAAATTGAAAAACCTCCTCTGAGTATGTGTTTTTCGTTGTCGGTGAGAGTGTGATTCAAGATATACACCCGAGTTTTGGTTTCAGAGGTCCCATTGGCGTTGTAACCATTTTGAGAGACTTTAAACTTTATCTTATGTTTGTTACTTTTTCATTTTGTATCTGTTTTATTCTCCAAGCAGTAACTTTGTTCAGATGTACTGGTATAGGGTTTGGTCAACTGGAGATGAATATTATATGCTTCTTTTGCTGTAGCAGCTAATATTTGTTTTTATATGAGTGATAAACTTGCTTTTTTCAGGATATCGCTGCAGTTTTTTGTTTTTAGATTCTAACCAAATTTTGTGCAAGGTGGTATTATCTGGTTGTCTTGGCATCATATCAGGGAAATAATGTCACAAACAAGTGTTGATTTATTCGATCTAAGTTTTTTACAGCTCTCAATGTTCTCTGTTGATATAAAAATTTCCTATTCTATTTCTAGTGGAGTGTTTATGAATACTACTTGTGTAGGTCAACTGATCACTCAGATAATTTGGCAACATATTGTTTTTAATTTTAAATATAAATATTAGCATATTTAGTGTTATCCTTTGTTTAGCAAACATAAGAGACAGTGTTTCCAACATGTATTCCACAGATGTGCGTTTTTTACAACTTAATATTGCCCTCATGGATCTGTTTTGAAGCTTCTGTAATCTGTTTAGATTTTCATTGCTCACAAAATAGAGTAATGTACTGCAATAGTCAAAGTGGGGTGCTATTATTGATTTATAAATTGTTAATTTTGCATATTCACTTATTTTATTTTTCAATCTATATAAAAGATGAATTTTCGTGGCTATTTTCTTCTGAATATAACTACAGTGTGCATTAAAGTTCAATTCTTGATCTAATACCACTCCCAGATATTTAAAAGTTGCTACCCTTTCAATGATGACATTATCAATATAAAGATTCAATGACAGCTGTTCATCTTGCAGTTGTTTTAAACGATATTTGCTACCTATTAACATGCATTTTGTTTTATTAACATTTAACTTGAGGCCGTTGTCACATAACCACTCGTTTATATTTAATAGTTCCTCATTTAAACATTCTGAGATTTCATTAGTCGTCCCAGAACAGTACAACATAGTGTCGTCGGCAAACAGTTTTATCTTACACCTTTTAACATGTATCACAATATCATTTATGTACAGCAAGAATAGCAGTGGACCCAATACTGACCCTTGAGGGACTCCAGAAATCACATTTAAAATACTGGATGTCACTTGATTATATTTAACTAGCTGCTTCCGATATGTGAGGTAATTTGTGAACCATTGTAATACTTTATAATCTAGTCCATACTTATTTAATTTCATTAAAAGTAACTCAATGATGACCGTCCCGAATGCCCTTTTGAAATCCAGAAAGACGACACCTATAATACGTTTTTTAGATAGCTCAACTTTCCACAAAGGGATTAGAAATTGCAGTGCAGTTTCACATGAATGGGATTCCCTAAAGCCAGATTGTTCTTTAATCAAAATATTATGTTTCGCTATAAATTTCATCAATTGCTCTTTCACTGTGATTTCTAATATTTTCTCATAAATTGGCAGGGTATTTATGGGTCTAAAATCAGATCCTAAAACGGTGTTTGTTAGTTTTTCAATAGGAACGATGGTGGCAATTTTCCAACCATCAGGAAATGTTTCAGTGGTTAACGATAAATTTATCAAGTCCAAAAACCTATTTCCCAGTATTTCAAATGTCAACTTGATTATATTCAGATTAATTCCATTGTCATCTGTATTATTTTTCTTGAGGGAAAAAATTATCTTTTTTAACTCGCACATATTCAATGTTTCAAATTCCCCAAATATCTCATTTGTTGGTATAATATGACTGAGAACATGATTATAATCATTTATTGGTACTATACTTTCGGTTAGATTTTTCAAACTGTCAACGAAAAATGAATTAAAATATCCTGCTACTTTTGCTTCATTTGTTACAAGAAGACTATCATATTGTACACCTTTGAACTCTTGTTTACTATTTCCCTTCACTAAACCCTTCAGTGCTTTCCACATAGTCCTACTGTTTCCTTTATTTTCGTCAATCTTTGATTCATAATACTTTTTAGTTCCAATTCGTATCTTTTTGGTAACGAGATTACGACTTATTTTATATTTATCTCAATCACATTGTAGTTTGGTTTCCTTTACTTTTTTAGGAAGAAAATCGCGTTTTTTTAAATCTGCCATGATTTCGTCTGTAAACCACACTTTCAATTTGAGATTATTGAAATTATGCTTCCTTTTGAATGGTGCATGTATGTCCAAGCATCTAATAATATTATTGATGAATGAATTTGATATTTCATTAATGTCAGTGATATCATTATTCCATAACGTATTCATTAGGGACAGTTGGAATTTAATTTCATCAAAGTATTTATAATCTCTCCTACTTATAATAGTGGAAGTTGATTTAGGATATTAAAATATTAGAATGATCTGAAACACTTTGGAGATGAGATACTTTAAATTTCAACAACTTGTTATTTGTTATGAAATAATCAATTAATGTGGATGAATCCTTGGTGATTCTGGTATAATCGTCAACTAATTGGTACAGTCCCATGAATTTAATCAGTTCTTTGAT